CCGAGGTCCCGTGTCGCAGTAGGTGCTGGCACGAAAAAGTTCCCTTCCAGCTCAATGGCCTTAAATGCCGAGTATGGCTGCATTTCATTTCCGGAATTTTAGGTAATTATCAATTTTTCATTTCCGACATTTTTTAGTTTTCATTTCCGACATTTTTCAAATACATAAGTAGTACCTATAGTAAATTTGATAACTTTACTTATGAAAAATTTAAAGGAATGAATCATAAATAAATTATTGAAATCCAATTTTGTAAATCTATCAGTGACTTCGACATAAGTATGGTGCTGTCACTGACATTTAATTTAGTGCACATTAAATATGGTGAAAATGTTTTATGCTCATTTAACTTTTTTACCTAAACTTGGGTTACATGTATGCATACGTGTATAGATGTTATTTTTATTAACATTTTGGCATAAATACTGTTAAAATTCCATTCTATTTTACTTAGAAAACATTGAATTGCCACACAGGTAAATTTCGGAAATGAAAAAAAAATTATGTCGGGAATGTAAACAAAAATATCGGAAACGAAATAAAAAAAATGTCAGAAATTCTATGCATATTTCCGGAAATAAAATGCAGCGGCCGAGTATAGTGCAAAATTTGCAGCTCTCCAGCGGCACGTGGTGGCGTCTCCATATGAATGAAAAATTATCGAGAGTTATAGAATGGGACTTTAAACAACATATAATCAATCCAAAAAAAAATATTCAGCTTGATGCAAACAGAGAGAAACTAATTAATTTATCCAAAACTGGCGCAGTGATATAAATAACTCATCAAAAGGTTGAACACAATTTTAAAAGTGATTTTTTTTTTTGGATGTGAAAAATTAAGTGCAATGAAATCATTTCGTAATTTGTTTGAAAAACTGTTTAATCTCAATCTATTTCTGTAATTTTTAATGAAAAATGAGGTCCAAATTGCATCTGATGAATTATTGTATAAATTCATTTTATAAACATCCATCATACAAGTCTACTTTCCTACTAATGAGGCAGAAGATGAAACTAAGCAAGACTTCTACAAAGCACTACAAGCCGAACTTGAAAAGATTCCAAAACATGATTTAACCATCATAGTGGGAGATTTTAATGCAAAAATAGGCCAAGACAACACCGGATATGAAAGAGTCATGGGAAAATATGGCTGTGGTACCATGAATGAAAATGGTGAACATCTGGCAGTGTTTTGTGGTAACAACAACTTGGTTATAGGTGGAACATTATTTCCACACAAGGACATACACAAGCTCACATGGATATCACCCGGAGGAAGAGACAAAAATCAGATAGACCATATTGTTATAAATGGTAAATGGAGACGATCTCTTCAGAATGTGAGAGTAAGACGAGGTGCAGATGTAGGCAGTGATCATCACCTTGTAACAGCAGATTTTAAACTTAAACTGATGAAAACTATACAGCTGGAAAAGATTCGATGTTGGCAAACTTAGTGATACAAAAACCAAGCAAGATTTTAGATTAGAGTTGAAAAACAGATTTTCTATCTTGCAAAGTAGTGATATAGACGAAGAGCAGATAGACGAACACTGGCTGAAAGTAAAAGATAGATTTAACAATGCAAGCGAGAAAGTTATTGGCTTCAGAAAACAGGTACACAAAGAATGAATAACACCAGGTACATGGAAACTCATTGACAGCAGAAAAGAACTAAAGAAGAGGTTGTGCAACACACACTCGGAAAGAATAAAAGAGAAATTAAGAGAACAATACTCCGACAGTAACAAAGAAATAAAGAAGGCCATAAAGAGGGACCGTAAAAACTTCATTGAAAATATGGCACAAGAAGCTGAAAAAGCAGCATCAGAACAGAGAATGGGCGATATTTATCAGATCACCAAGGAGCTTAGTGGACAAAGAAGAAATGAATGTATGCCAGTAAGAGACAAGCAGGGCGCAATGATCACATCTGAGAAAGACCAAGAACAAAGATGGAAGGAGCATTTTGAAGAGATACTAAACCGCCCAGATCCAAGCAACAGAGCAGAAATACCCGAAGCAAACATTGACTTAGATATCAACATAAATGAACCATCAAAATTAGAAATAATCACAGCAATCAAGAGTTTAAAGAACAATAAAGCACCTGAGAATGACAACCTACCAGCTGAAATATTCAAAACAGACCCTATCCTTGCAGCAGATATCCTTCATCCTCTTTTCTGCAAGTATGGAAGTAAAACATGATACCAGCAACATGGTCTGAAGGTAGCATCATCAAACTACAAAAGAAAGGAGACTCACAAACTGTAACAACTGGAGAGGTATTACTTTACTCTCTATACCAAGCAAGATATTTAGTAAAATAATTGTAAGCAGAATAAAGACAGCAGTGGATAAAAAGCTAAGGAAAGAACAGGCAGGCTTCAGAAAAGGAAAGAGCTGCTGTGATCAAGTATTTGTACTAAGAAACATAATAGAACAGTGCACAGAGTGGTAAAGACAACTCATCATAAACGTCATTGACTTCGAAAAAGCTTTTGATAGCATTCACAGAGACAGTTTTTGGAAAATCCTGAGGCACTACGGTATACCATCTAAACTAGTTGACCTAATAAAAGCATTTTATGCAGAATTTAAATGCTCTATTGGTAGATCATCAAACACAAGCTTTCTTGTTAAGTCAGGAGTGAGACAAGGATGTGCGATTTCAGCTCTATTGTTCATCATCGCAGTAGACTGGGTAATGAGATCAACCCTTAGTGATGAGAATACGGGCATCAGATGGACTTTTTTCAACAAACTAGAGGACTTAGATTATGCAGATGACCTGGCTTTATTATCTCATCTGGAAACACAAATGCAAAGAAAAACATCTAATTTACAAATAAATGCCAGCAAAATCGGATTCGACATCAATATAAAGAAAACAGAAGTAATGTCCCTAAATACAAAAAAACCACCCCAAATACAATTGAATGGAGGAGATATCAAAAATACAGAGTATTTTACATACCTGGGAAGTGTGGTAACATCAGATGGCGGAGCTGACAAGGACATAATATCAAGATTAGGTAAAGCTAGAGGAGCCTTTGTCAAGCTTAAGAACATATGGAAGTCAAGCAGTATTAACAGACACACTAAGATCAAACTGTATAATAGCTGTGTCCTATCTGTTCTAATGTATGGTGCTGAATGCTGGAGGATGACTGAAAGTGACATTAAGAAACTATCAAGTTTTCATAATGGGTGCCTCAGAAAGATCTTGAGGATATTTTGGCCAGAAAAAATAACCAACAAAAATTTGTATGAAACAACTAAAACAACAGACATGAGGACTTTACTAGTGAAATACAGATGGAGGTGGATAGGCCATGTCTTGAGCCCACAGATCACAAGAGTGGCACTCAGATGGACCCCAGAAGAGAAGAGGAGGAAAGGCCGACCAAAAACAACGTGGAGGCGAACTGTAGAGAAAGAGCTAAAAGAGATAAATCTTACCTGGGGAGAGGCAGAGAAGATAGCTAAGAACAGAGAGGAATGGAAATCCCTAGTCCTTGCCCTATGTACCTCCGGGTGCAACAAGGACTAGGTAGGTAGGTATAAATGACAAACAAATTCATTATATCAGACACATGATTTTAAAGACTTTTTCCTGCAATTTTTCGAGAGTAGTTTACTCTGCGAGAAAATGAGTGAGAGAATTATACAAAAAGGTGCTCCAAGAAACAGATGTTTCGCCTGTTTTAGCACCATTAAAGACATATCTATATCTAACAAGAAAACATTGATGTAACCATCAATTGTCGCCCGGGAAATATATAAAGTAAACAATGAAAATGAGTCTTGATCAACAAACCGCTTCGATATGTGTAAAAAGGCATGCGTCTAATTGATGGAGACGATATTAAATGTTTCTAAAAACTTGTAGTCTGATAAAAATCAATCAAAAACGATACCATTTTAAACTTGATCAATTCCTCAAGTAAATGCTGGCTGCAAAAAATATAAATTGAAGTTAGACACACGCATCATTTATATTTAAAAATGTATTAATTTTCAATTTTAGAATATAAAACACGAATTGTGCAGAGTACGTTTTTATCCGAGAAGTAAATTTCGATGTTCTAAAAAAAGGGACCTGTCGTTGTTTCGATAGAAAATGATAAGTAACTTTATATATTAAATATGAAAAACATATATATTTTTACAGATTCACTTCATGGAAGTAAATATATTATGTATCACGTAATTTATAAACGGAAAGAACATTCTGATTAACAATCTTTTCAATGTTTAGAAAACCTTTAATTCTACATAACTACTCCCACCCCAATCCCCATACACCAACACTTAAACTTATATGTATAGAGCAGCCCGGTCCTCCGGGCTGCAATAATATGATATTGGCACTAAAGTTAAAGCAAAAAAAAAAAATATCCACGGATAGTAAGACAACGATAAATACTATTTATCATAAAAACTACGATCGAAATAAATTAATGTTAAAATAAATAATTAAATTAAATTTATTAGAAATAATCTTCTATTCATCAGAATTTTTTCAATAATATCCAAGGTTCAATGCCCAAATTAGTATACCGATCATAACGTAATGGAACATCAAACAGGCTTTCCTTCAAGTTGAAAACATCGACCTTTTCTGTCAAGTCGAAAAAAATATGATTTTTTTTATTAATGCAAGTCTATTTCAACAATTCCCTAATTTCACACAAAAAGGTCAGTTTACAGATCCCGTTTTATTCAATCAAAGGCGACAGTCTTTTTAAAATTAAAAAATCACATGACTTTTTTGTCGTGAGAAACCGTTTTCTCTTGGTTGACGGAAAAGACGGAGTACCAGCTGAATGCATAAAAATTTTAATCTGCATGTTTGATGTTATCAAGGTTATCTGTACATGTAAATCTGGTTTTTCATAAAAGCCAATCTTCCAAGCATTACCATGATCAAAATATCAAAGCAATGCCTCCAGCAGTTCTCTCAATTTTAAGGCATGACAGACGGACGGATGAAAGACGGACGCGGACAAACACCGAGCCAAGTTATCCGGAGATATCGCTCTGCTTTGCAAATGGCTCAAAAACATAGAAAAGAGGTTTAATATACTGAAGCATACGTGAAAACCCCCACTGAAAGAATAAATTCACAAAGTAGCAAAATCCAGAACGCGAAAAAGTCTATGGCCGATGACACATCATTCCATGACATTGATTCTTCTTTTTCTTCTATTTCTTCCATGCCTTCTTTCTCGTTTCCTTGTCTGCTTTTAAGGTATCTTTCATTAACTTCCATAACTTTATTGTTGTCCATACATTTACACTTTTTAAGAAGACATCCATATTGTAAGGAATCTTTTCCCCCTTCACATCTCATACGCCTTTCCATTCGTACAAAAAAGCGGAGTACTTTTCCTACTTTTCTCTCTTCAGTTCTATGGTGTAATCGGAGTTGTAGAGAGGTAATCATAAGAACAAGAATGCCTATACATAGCTGCAAAATCAAATAAATACTAAGGACCGAAACTGAGTCTGAGTTTATCGGAAGCTCGGCACTAACCATGGTTAAAAACACTGCAAAGGTAAGAAATATCGTTACAGCATAACCCATTTTTTCTCCGGCGTCGGCTGGAATGATGAAGACAAGCAAATTCAAAACACCAAGAAAAATTATTGGAAGGATCAAGTTCATGACGTAATACAATGGTTTTCGGCGAAGATTTATTATAAAATGTACATCTGTTTCGTATGTTGATACGTCATATGTCGCATCAGTTGATGTCACTTCCCAAACGCTGTTCTCCACAAATTCGTAATATCCGACCTTATCTGATGAAACTGTTAGGTTAATTTCCCATCTGGAGTAACTCCATGTCTTAAAGCTGATTTTACACGACTGTTTGTCAAACGGATAATGGGAAATATCAATATCACATGATGATTCAAATACCATGTATGGATACCAGTACACAGTTCCGTCATAATCCACAAACAAATAGTAAAAATCACCTCCCAGGGGCTTAAATGATGTGAAGCCATTCTTTAAAACAATATCAGGCGTCCATATATCCTTCTACAAAATAAATACGCGAATTAATTTTATTCATTTTTTTTTTAAAGTTTCATGTAGATCTTACTTCAGGCTGTATATCAACCAATATCATCTACCGGGTTTGTCAGAGACCTTCTACAGGAATCTGAGACTGATTACATTGATTTACTATGAAAATTTACATTGGAATGTTTTGAAATTTACAGGCCTATTAAAATCTCTGTAATGACATACCAATGTAAACTTTCCAAATACATGTATGTGAAAATATAATAAATAAATATACAATGAAATGCTGTGAAGTCATTTTAATTCTTGGGGGTTAATGTTTGTTGGTAAGCAAAATTTGACCTGTTCTTGTGGATGTAATTTCGTGGGTTACTCGTAAATACGATGATTCGATGAATCAATATGTTAGCAAAAATAAACGTTCGTGGAGATGTAAAGAACTGCGGACGATAGCATTGTTCTCCCGCCTACCTCAAAGTCAATTTTCAAAAGTTAACATATGCGATGAATTTTTGATATTTTTTATAGATAATTATATGGATTTTCATAAAACAATGCTTATTTGGGGAAACAATGAGAGATAACTCTTAAATTTTGGTAAAACCTGAGTTTTTTTTACTACGGAAAACGGAAAATATTTTAAAAACATCTTTCCATCCCGTGTCATAAAAATTCCTTTTTACAGGTAATATGGACTGTTATTTCACGAATTCATGTTAAAGTTTTTTTGTCTGACACGGGGGGGGGGGACATATGTTTATTGACAAAAAACGACAAAAATGCTTATTTTCCAACAATTCCAAAGCGATTTACAACTGAATCATTATATTTTATTGATATATTTATGTTTTATTTATTTGCCTAAAACATAAGAAAAGATATAAGGAACATTTAATGATATCCAAGACTATTTCAAAATATGGTGATGCCTGAAAGTCTGATTTCAATGGAAATTTTCGTCTACCCCCCTTTTTTCAAGGGCTAGATGTTTGACTAATTTACTATCTAGCGCTGGTATTGAAACAATTCATCAATTTCCATTGAACTGTTCTTTGTTTTTGAACAAAGTATATTATGACAAATTGTCATTTATATTGAATTAAATAGTTGCAAAATGTAGGCGGGAATCGAGAGTTAACGTGCGTATTTCTTTGTGGATAAGGGTGACCCACGAAGTCCTTGAACATTTGTCCCCCACGAACAATGATGATTCTAAATTCGAGCTCTAAGGCCCATTCAAACAATACAAATCAGGAGACCACACACAAACATCTAAAACACCAGAGGTGGGATCAGATGCCATAGAAAAATGAGCATCCCCTGTCAACCGATCACACCCGCCGCGTGCTCTTTGTCATGATTGGGGAAATAACGGGAAAAATCATAGACAATTCAGTGAGTAAATAATGATCTAACAATTACTAGTAGTATGGAAAACGTCAATTAGTATTTGCCTGAAAGATACGCATTGAGCAATAACTCATTCTCTATATTATAAAGAGCTCAGAGAATAATTTAAGAGTTACTATAATTGGAGGACCCTTATCCAGTTATATGATTCCGACTAATGAGGAAACACTTACAGACTAAAACTATTTTTTTTTCGGATTTTTGTCATTTGATATCTATTACAATGGTCGCCCGCGTGGCGCAGTGGTTAGAGCGTCTGCTCTAGAGTCGCGAAGTAAAGAGGCAATCCTTACGTTGCGGGATCGAATCCCACTGTGGGACGTGGAGACCGGTTCTTCGGATGAGACCGTATAAACCGAGGTCCCGTGTCGCAGTAGGTGCAGGCACGAAAAAGACCCCTCCCTGCTCAATGGCCCTAAGTGCCAAGAATAGGACAAAATTTGCAGCTCTCTACCGGCAAGTTGTGGCACCTCCATTTGAGTGAAAAATTCTCGATAGGGACGTCGTTAAACAATATACAATCAATCAATCTATTCCAATGACCTAGTAATGTATGCTGATTTTGTTTAAGAATACCTGATGGTATTATTATAATTTTAGATTAAGTATACCTTGGAAAATCATCAGTGGGAAAAGTACATTGTAAATTTCATGTAAGGTACACTGTACATTATGCATGGACTTAATGCGATATTGTATTTGCCAACAAAGTCATTGTTTCGACCAGATAACTTACAAAATGATGACTTTAAACTATATTTCCTTTTAACATAAGAACAAATTGCATCTAAGAACTAGATAACAACAAATAACTATTTAAATTTCATACTATAGATACTTTGAAATATTATCAAAATATTATTATAATATCAAAATATTAAAAATTCATACTTTTTATCTAATAGTTTACTGTAGTAAACTATTGTATTTTTTGCTTTTCTCTAAGTATGCATTACTGAAGCAGTTGGTCAACCGATAATCTACATGTAAGAAGAAAGTTTTGGTTTTATTGCGCCCTAAAAATTTAATGTTCTTAAAAAGTTATGAAATTGGCTTTATAAATAGTTGAGTAGAAGAATATGATAAATCATTAAAGAATATGGTATGAAGGAGGACCATTCTGGAAGTATGACGTCATTAATTTGGTACATTTCTAAGTTTAATGCAGAATAGACTCAGAATGACTCAGAAAATAGTGTCTTTAGAAAATAGTGTCTGCCACCATCTCCCACATCAGTTTTTGGATATATTATGTAAAATGCGTTGAAAAATCATATATCTCAAAATCTGTGTGGGCGACGGTGGCAGAGTATGTTTTCTGAAAGAAAACTCCACTGAAAATTGATGTCTTCTGCAACTTTTTAAGAAAATACGGGAAAATGCACAAGTTAATGACGTCACAATTAGCTTCAGGAGGTCATATAAGTAAAAGGATTTGTGTATTCTTACTGCATGTAATTCCTATTATTCAGAAAGAATAATTTTTAATTTCTTATGTCACTTTCATATTTTAGAAAAATACAGGGCTTAATTTGTATTGAAACTGTACTTAACCATTGATTCACTCGAAACAACAAATAAAGGATAAAGAAAGTGGGGTAAATTTTTTTGTTTTATTACAACATTATTTAACATAAACAACTCTATATTTAAAAGATAAATACTGTTTTTTATTCAACATCTGTTGTCGGAAGGTCTGAAGAGGGCATTCAAAAATCTGTTAAAGTTGCATTTAACATGTTTAACCAAAAAAAAAAAAATATCTAAACTTCGCTAAAATCATTAGCATATTTCGAAATTTCTTTTTTAAAAAGAAAAACTAGAAAGAATTAGTTCCAGATCAATTTTCAATTTCTGAAAAGACGTAGTCTACTGCCAAATCAGTTGATAATATAAGAATAAAAAAATCCCGTTTAGAGTCAATATTTCGCAAATAACTAGTGGCCGTATTTGCAAGTGCAATCCATCGTCAAGTTGAATGTTGACTGAGGTATTTAATAAATTTGTTAGGCCATTATTTTCACATTGACACGTATACATATTTTTCCTGTTTAACTCATCATGGCATAGGGCACACGGAGGCTGTGACCGGTACAGGGGATGTTCACTCCTCTATGGCACCTGATCCCACCTCTGTTTGCATAGGTCTGTGTTGCCCTGCTCTAATTAGTATTGTTTAACTGTACTTTTGAGTAGATTGCTGTTCGTTTTCTTCAGACTCATCAATTGATCATTACTCTTCATTTTATAATTGATAAAACCGAAATATACATATATATATATTTTCAATATTATTTGAACGATTAAGAATATAAATGAGGCAAACAATTTCATCGCCAAATATTTTTTTTCGTGAGACAAAATGTTTGGATTAAGTTAAACAAACCTATTTCTAAATACCGGTATATCTTTATCGATAATGAAAAATAAAGATTATTTCATCAATGACAGAGATCTAATTGAAAATTAAAAATATCCAAAATACAAATTCAGAGCTAAAAGAAAGAAGAAAACACGAATTAATTAATAATCGTTCTTCCACGGTAAAAGATATGAGATTTAAATTAATTAATGCAAATATAAATTAAAACAAATGCAAAGTGAGAAAAAATTAAACCAATCAGTGGATAAATGATAATCATTACAACACCACATATACATTAGAGGTTACAGCATTTCATATGTCATATGACACACTCTAACAGAGATGCTGTACTTTTGATCAAAAGGATTAGTTTGATTCATTCAAACTGAAAAAGAAAAAAATTGAAAAGAAAATAAGATGAATTTAATTTTCTTTTCAAAAACCAACCTGATTAAACTGCATCCAGTAGATACCAGTTGTGGTTTCATTCCAGGTTAGGAGTTCATCTACCCATGTGACATATAAGTATGCTGTTGTCACCAATTTTTGGTCCACGGAGTTTACATCATTCACGCCAATCAGCCAAAGGCTTGTTTCCATTTTCAGTGAATCCCCCTGGTTTTTGATGGGGCGGATTTTACTAGAATAATTTGCAAGCAGGGAGTCTGTCAAGGATTTGTAGTCTTCGATAGTGTAGGATAGATGAGTAGCCCCCGCAGGACTTACACAAAATAAAAGTCCCATCAGTTGAAACCAAATCATTTTGTCAGTCCTGAGTTGCACAATAGATGCATAAAAATGTTTAACAATAAAACCCCGATAAGCTGCAATTTATAGTACTTTATACTGTTAAAAACCTTATTAACATAATTCAATGACCAATAATCCATGTAGAAACAAAACAGCAATAGTACATGTGCCTTTGCTGAACTTTTAGAACCAATCACGTTATAAAATACGAAAAAAAGTCCAATCAATATGCACCAAAATTAAATACCCAATAACTTTATCATTATGCATGTATTGCAATGGCTCTCTACCTCTGATAAGTATCTTCTCGAAATAAAGCAATATGTACATGTAAATAATGATCATTCTGAAAATAAATACATATGGCTTTACAAACATTGAAACGGCGGGTCGATCATACAAAGTAATGGACACATTTATTTAATTTCTCATTCATTTAATTCATGTTTTTAAAAATCTTTCAATAATTTCAGATTTTATTATATTTAAGGAATGAAGCTTACTTCCTGAAGCTTCATTCCTTATAATTTAATTTCGATGTAGACAATGTTTAAATTTTTCCATTTTTCCTTCGGAAAATGGCTTCAAATATAGCATTGTTACAACGCACTTTGAAAAATTACGCACTTTGAAAAAAATTTTCAAAGTGCGTTAAAATTTGGGACCAAGCTAACGCACTTTGAAAAAAATAATTTTATTTCAAAGTGCGTTAATATCGACCATATTAACGCACTTTGACAAAAATGTAAAGATTGATCAATATTCCTTCAAATAATCGGTATGATAAATAACAGATTCTGGTTTGATAACTTTTTTATGATAAAGTCACTGTAGGACCTGAGATATTGACGTTTTAAATATTAAAGGTTTTGATAAAATAAAAGGGAAAATTAAAAGGTCTTGAAAAAAAGAGTGACGATTGTTTAAGTCCATTAATTCGTTTCCCCCCTTTTTTTTAATTGTAGTCTTTGATAAGTAGATGTAAAGGTGTATAGGGAGCACTAACAGAGGACAGCTTCAAGCAACTTAGCATTTATCATAATACAAGAGGCCCACGGGCCTTATAGGTCACCTGAGTATCATGTAACAACTTTCCAGTGATTGTATTTGGTTCGTGCTTTAATCAAAAAGCCACAAATTTCACAAATTTTGAAGGAGGCACCATTGCTTATCAAAAGGCAGATTTGAAAGCATCAATTTATTTTTAGTTAAAGTACTCCCCTGGTACCCCTGACCCAGCGGCCCTGAAATTATCTATTTTGAAAGAGACCCCTTTTTTCATTATAAGGCCAGCATTTTTTAATGTTTAGGTTTAGTTATGAACATGAGAATTTTTGATAAATCAATTATTAACATTTGTACATTCTTTTTTTATGCTATTCTAATAGGCTCCTTACAATTGGACACATAATACTTACAAATAGGAAAGTAGAACATTTAATTGCTTATTTCATCATCTGCCAGCTTGGGCCTGTCATATAATTTTTTCGATGTTGGTCAAAATATGTTTTAAAAAATCAATTCTTTAAAAGTCTTTCAATTTTCATTTCATTTTTTAAATATATGTTAGGTGAATATGTAGACAATGTTCTAAAATTTACTTGATGCCTAAAATTATAATTCCTATCATAAAACAGACAGGGAGTATTGGGAAGTATGGTGAACATTTTTTCAATTAACTGTAAAATAATTTTTCTGGCTGATTCAATTCATACTACATGCCTGTATATACTTGTATATTCTTGCCGCCTTTTAATAGTTGATTTTTTTTTATTTCTTCAGGTTATTGTTTATTTCTTCCTCAAATGGACTTAACTTCTCCCATAGTTTTATTCATTACATCTGATGCATAAGCAACCCTTTTTAAGAATGATGCTTAGACTGTAAGCTATAACAGAGACCTAAACTGTAACAATGTCGCTGGCAATATGCAATAGCTACCACGGGCAGTTTAAAACCTGGGGAAGAAAAATTATTTACAGACAGATACTTTTGAAACGAATACATAATTATCTCACCAGCATGTCATTGTGTAGCAAAGTTGTCAGCATTTTATTTGTCCTTTGAACGGGTGAAACGTTTTGAATGGCATTCATTTCGATGAATTTTACACTAAACCAACCTCAGATCTAGCTTTATAATTCAAGTTTATTTACCCCCCCCCCGTTTCATCTTAAAAACGGAAGTGCGAGTTCGTAAATTTGAAATCTCGATCCCGACTCAAATTTGACATCGGAAGAAAAAAAAATTTATTTTTTTTTCTGAAAATTCAAAACCTTGAGCAAAGGGTTTGTAAAACTGAAAATAAAATAAATCATGGCCTTAAATATGTATTTAGGTCATTAGTATGTTAACAAGGAGCAAAGGATAAGATGTTCAAAGAATTCTTTCATTTGACTATTACAGCCCCACCCTAAAACAAGAACCCCTGACCCTGGGGCCATAAAATTCACAATTTTGGCAGAAGCACTCTTGCTCATCATAACTATGTTCTTAGTTAGTTTATTTAATACCTAGGAGCAGAGAAGAAGATTTTCAAAGAATTCATGTATTTTCACTATATAATCAATAGAGCCCCCCCCCCCCCAACACCAGAATCCTTGACCCTGGGGCCATAAAATTCACAATTTTGGTAAAGGCACTCTTGCTCATCACAACTATGTACTTAGTTGGTTTATTTAATACCCAGGAGCAGAGAAGAAGATTTTCAAAGAAATAATGCATTTTCACTACCTACTTATTGAACCCCGCCCTAGCACTTGAACCCCTGACCCCAGGGCCATGAATTTCACAATTTTGGTAGAGGACTCATTGCTGATTACAATCATGCAAACAGTTTGACTGCTTGAAGTCCAGGAGTAAAGAAGAAGATTTTTAAAGATTGCATTAATTTTAGTGGTTTTGGCCCCACCCCTCAGGCCCCAGGGGGGCAGGGATCATGAAATTCACAATTTTTGTTCCCCTTTACCCATAGATGCTTTGTGCTAAATTTGGTTGAAATTGGTTCTGTGGTTGCAGAGAAGAAGCTGAAATTGTTCAAATGTTAACGCACGGCGCACGACGGACGACGGACGACGCACGACGACGGACGAAAACGGATAGCAATAGGTCACCTGAGTTTACTCAGGTGACCTAAAAAAGGGGCCAATTTGATTGTTCAAAGCTATGAAAATTCTTTCTCTCTCATACGTTTTACTGTACTTTAAAATTTCTAGTTTTCATCTGTTTTAATTAACTCATTTATTATTGAAAGTTTTCAACGTCATACCAGTTAGGTAAATACATAATTATATGAATGTTTTGAATATAGCATAGACTGGGCGAAGGTCCAGGGGAGGGAATGGGGGGCTAAACCCCCCACTTATTTTAGAAAGATATATACATCGTATAAACATTGAAAATGCAGCGTACCCTTTTTAGGTTTATTGCTCCCCTCCCCCGTTTGTTACCGACACCTATGTATTGGAAAGATAAAGATTTGGACTGAGGGATCTTATACCCGTCTTCTCCTCTTTTCGACGGGAGTAAATCAATTCATTTTTGAGGTTAGGGTTAGGCTTAGTTTTTTGAAAGATAAATAACAAATAAAATCTTTCCATGACTAAAATATGATTTTTTTTTCAAAGTGCGTTAAGTGTGTCCATGGTAAAATATATTGATGCAGACTCTTAACGCACTTTGAAAAATTTTTTCAAAGTGCGTTGAGTTGGTCCCAAATTTAACGCACTTTGAAAAAATTTTTCAAAGTGCGTTGAGTTGGTCCCAAATTTAACGGACTTTGAAAAAAATTTTCAAAGTGCGTAATTTTTTCAAAGTGCGTTGCCACATAGCATATTTAAAAAGTTCACGTCAAGCGGAGTAATACGCATTTGACATTACTCATTGTGACGTAGGCAAGTTATGTTATACAAAATGGATAAAACCGTTTAACCAATCAAATATCTTGTTACAACTGAAATTAAATTATATGATTTTAAAAAGGAATTCATTCAGTGACCTGTGTTATGTGTAGATGTACGATTACTTAAGTCTTTACATGCAATTGAGTAAAAAATCTTCTGTTTGCTCGTTACATAAATGTTAATGTATATTTCAGTGAATAGAATCATGGTAGGTTTTTCTTTACGTTTTTGTTTTTGAATTTTGCTCCCCCCAATGGTCCCATTTTGGACGGAGATATCTAGTTTAACTCTTCCCATTGTTCATCCTCAACACCTACAGTGGCATCGATGGCCTCGAGCATTCTCGTAGGACAATCTCTACTGATATGTCCTTTTCTATTGCAAGTCCAGCAAGTAATTTCCCTTTTTCTGAGCAGTTTGATCAATTACAAAAATTTTCTTTGGAGCAACCTTATGTTTGTCATATTGTCATATTTTAGGCCTGTCAAAATTTTCCCTTCTTTTATCCCTTTTCTGCCTATAATGGTCAATTTCCATGGGTTCCTCTGTGTTACTTGGAGGGACAAAATATGTGCGACCGGTTCGTAGCTGAAAACGCTGTTGCAAGTTATGTTCAGCCTTAGCAAAATTGATAGCTTTCTGCATAGTGTGTGGATTGTCACGCATGACCTTTAATTTTAATTTGTCAGAGTACAACCCGTCAACAAAGAACCCAACAAGTTGACCAGGCGCGTAGCCAGCATGGAAATGAAGTGTATGCAGAAAACGGTCGGGGGTCTGGGGGCCGCCTGAGGCCCCCAGTGGGTCCAGGGCGAAGCCCTGGTGGGGGCCCAGGGGGCGAAGCCCCCGGAAGCTCCCGGATTTTACAAAATGTTTCAGTCATTTTCTCGCAAAAGAAATCACGATAATATCACTTTTCTCGAGCAAACACTTAGCTAAGTTATACTGCTTCCATTGATACTTCGGGAAGAGAACGATAATTTATCAAATTAATTTACGCATATATTGGTATTGGAAAAAAGTTTCCAAGTGTATCAAGATAAAACAGAGTAGCAATTTCAATATCGTTATCATTGGAGTTTAAATATTTCAAAATATAAACGGGGTAGT